CGTACTCACATCCATTCAAGACAATTTCTATAGTCACTTCCTTGACTTAATTTCAATATCTTGTCCCAAATGATATTGAGAGGAACATCTTCCTTTTTTTTTTCCTTCTTATGAGATGTCAAATTCACTTCAGGAAATTGACCAAAATCAATTAGATGTTATTCGAATTTAACTCGAATGAAGATCAAATCTAACACCGTATGCATATAATTTGTGAGTGTTATTGAATCAATAGACATACATAAGTATGCCATCAAATCATAAGTCTCATATATAAACTTAAATAAAGAAATATCCTCTATATATTAATTGATGAGACACTAGAAAAAAATCTTAGGTGCCAATCAAAGAGCAATTTAAGGGACAAGTCATTTAATTAAACCAATCAAAAAATTTCAACTAAAAGTATATTCCATAGGGGAAATTTTCTACATATTCTCATTAATTTTTAACATAAATCAACTAATACATGTTTTAAAACTTTAAACCCAACTAAATGAAATATTTTAGACTTACAATAACATCTATTTTTTCTGAAATATTAACAACATTTTTAATGTAGTTATAACAATTATCTATTGTGTATTTATGTATTTAAATTAGTATACTATATGAATATTTTATTATGATATGTACTTTACTATATATATTTAATCACTTACAAATATTTATACATTTCATTATTGGAAATCAATATATATGTATTCCGTTTGTTATGTCTCACAAATTTATTTATCGTATTTTAAAAAATTTTATATTTAAAAAATATTAAATAAAAAATATTTACATATTAAATAAATAAATATTTGCCTATGTTTGATTCATTTTATGCACAATGCATATCATTTTTGCACGCTTACAGATATTAGAAATCATATGTTTTTTTAGACACATTTAAATATTAAAAAATTACATATGTTAAAATTGATTAATTAATTTATTCAATCATTTAATCTCGCGCTTGGGCGCGGACCAAAATCTAGTAAGACAATTAAAAGCTGATTCAATCGAATGTTTTTTTGTTTTTATCAAAACTATTACCACAAAAGTCAATTCCTTTAAAACAGAATAAAACGAATTGATTAAAACAACTAAATTATTAACCGATCAATATTGAATTAAATAGACGTCATACTGAATATTTATTTTAAGTCGACTTTGAGTTAAAAACTATGAAAGAATATGAAGAGGAAAGTGACCGATTGGCTTGATGAGTTTAAGACTGGAAGGAGCAGCTAGAGTACGTAGTATTAGCGACTGCAAAGAAAAATCACGTTAAACAAAAAAAAAACGTCAAGAAAACTAAAACATGAACGTGAACATTAGGAAGTGGAAAAAAGTTAAAAAACATTATTTTATTAATCGTC